GCAGCCATTTTCCAAAAATCAAAAAAGTTCATTTTATTTCTCAGTAATGTACACTCAGCACCCCATCTTGACAGAAAAAAACAGAAATGTAGAAATTTTTGCAAATTTATTAAAAAAGAAAAACTGAAATATCACATGGTCATAAGTATTCAGACCCTTTGCCGTGACATATTTAACTCAGGTGCTGTCTATTTCTTCTGATCATCCTTGAGATGGTTCTACACCTTCATTTGAGTCCAGCTGTGTTTGTTTATACTGATTGGACTTGATTAGGAAAGCCACACACCTGTCTATATAAGACCTTACAGCTCACAGTGCATGTCAGAGCAAATGAGAATCATGAGGTCAAAGGAACTGCCTGAAGAGCTCAGAGACAGAATTGTGGCAAGGCACAGATCTGGCCAAGGTTACAAAAAAATTTCTGCACTGTTGAGTCTTCTTTTTTCTGCTTCATTGCCAAACTTCATTATAGTTTAGATCACTGCTGATTATTTTCTAAATTAGGGTTGCAACTAATGTTTATTTTCATCATTGATTAATCTATTTTCAGTCAAGCAATTGATTGTTTAATTTATAAAATAGCAGAAAATTATAATTTTTTATGGAATGCAAAGAGACATTTTAAATTTTAAAAAATAGTCTAAAATGCAAAGATATTCAGTTTATAATGATATAAGAAAAGAAAAGCAGTAAATCTTCACTTATAAGATTGCTAAACTAGAGAACGTTTTGGCATTTTTACTTTATATGACTTAAGCAATCAATCGATTATCAAAATTGTTACCGTTTCATCGACTAATTGATTCATCCACTAATTGTTTTACTGACCTGTACACAGTATCTAAAGGAATAGTGATAGACAGATTAATTCGTCGGCCGATTAATCAGGCATTCACAAGGCTGATGTATCATCTTAATGACAACAGATCTAATCTAAAACCATTACTGGCTAGAGTTAAATATATATTGTTATACTGTAGAGAATAATGCAGTTAAGTGTATTTTTGTTTTTCATGAAGTAATAAAAAGTACATCTAAAACAACACGTTACTGGCTAATAACATGTACTGTATGTGATATCTTTGTGATGGATCAGGTAACATACTTGGGAGCAGTTATCTTCAAAGACCAAAATGCAAGATGTCTGTTAAATTTTAAGCCAATCATTGACAAAACACACAAGAAATTTAACTATTGGCTGCTAAGGAATTTATCTTTGAGAGGCAGAATATTACTATCTAAAGCAGAAGGCATATCCAGACTCACTTACTTGGCTGTGTCTTTGGATGTTGACGCTGTGTTATCCAAAAGAATTGACAATATGTTGGTTAATTTTGTGTGGAAAAACAAAACTCACTTTGTTAAAAAGTCTGTGATTATGAACCCTATGAATTTTCTGGACTTCACAACTCTAAACAACTTCAAAATCAATTGGCTTAGACAATTTGTTAATAATCCTTCATCATTATGGAATTTCATTCCAAATGCAATCTTTTCCAAGATTGGTTGCCTGGACGTTCTTTTATTGTGTAATTATCATAAGTCATAAGTCAGCTGGCAGATTTCACAATGTTGTCTTTGAAAAATATTAAGCAAGTCTCAAAACCTATTCAGATAATTAATTTATTTGCAAGGAATCTGGTTTACAACTGAACTTGAAAGTGTGAATTATTAGCTATAAATGTCTGCCATCTTGTGGCAGCACATAGTATCCCCATTAAAACTAAATACTTAGATGTTTATATAGTAGAAAGGACACAAAATTAAGTGAAACTTTAAATCTATGGAACAAAACTGATGAATGCAAATCAAGTTTAGACTGACTGAATAGAGATCTTCCTTGTTTTGATCTCATTTATATATTAAAGAGGGAGAGTCTTTCAAAGTGCATTTACTCAGCTTACTCTCTTTCCATATCTAACAAAGCAGCGAGGACCATCAACAAGCTAAACATTTGGAAAAGAAAACATCATTATTTAAAGAAAGCAACCATGGTAAAACATTAGGAAGAATGTGGCCCCCCTTAAAACTTTGGTCTTCAAACACTTAATTTCCTGCATTCTGGTGATTTTTTTTTGCACCAAATTGTTGAGGAAATGTCTAAGGTGACAATTCAAAATAAAATAATTTAGTGTAATATAATGCAGTAAGGCTGTCAGGCATTCTGTATTGATGTCAGATATGTTTCTCCTGTAGATCAACTTTTCTCATTTAATTTAATCCTGAGTCTGCGAGACAGGCTTTGTCATGAAGATTATTGCACATTAACATGGAAAATATTTTTGTTGCTGTTGTACATTCAGGGCTACAGTCAAAACATCCGGGGCTAAAGCCCGATGGAATTGATTTTCTTTTACTTTTACAGTCCCTCATTACTGCCAAAGACCCGGTCATCCTCTTCCTCTTCTTCATTAGTGGTGATCACATACACATCCACACTATGAAGGGATTATGAAAATTACATATGGTAGTAGTGGTCTGTATGGGTATTATTTAAGGTAGGACGTCTTCTGGGAATAAGCAAATATTGGTACAATACAAACCTAAATGTCACTACTTTTCAAACAGACATCACACACAAATAGGCTACAACATACAAGGAAAAACTGTCCTCACCCTCAAAAAATGTGATGTGTAACTTTTTAAACATCAAAGATGATGTTATCTCTTTATCATTACAATGCCTCATTTTGCATTTGTCCAGACATTCCACTGATGAAGTTGTGTCATGATTTCACTTTCCCATAACCTGAAAATAGTTTTTATTAGGCCTATTGTAATCATCAAGCTAATCATTAAAGCTAAGTATCAGTGACCACAATAAACTGTATACTTGTAAAGTTTGAATTATTAACTGTATTTGAAGAGTGCTTTTATTTGGTTATTTACCAATAAGTGGCAACAATGTAGTTTAAATGTATTTTTGTGTATAAAAATATGGAGTTTATTTGATGTTGCTAATGAGTTACTATGTAATGCTAATGATGTTATGTTTTACTTTGCCTTTTGTCTGTATTTCTTTGTTTAGCACATTGTTGAATGCTAAGAGAAACCAGCACACTGTTGTTGCTGCCTATACCTCTCATAATATTAATCTTTAATGTAGAATTCTATATCATTAAATGCTAATCTGCAAACAAATGTACAGGGTTAATGCACAGCAGGGGTAGGGATCTCTTAAACTACACAACAATTATTAAGCTTTTTAAATTATGGCTGTATCAAATATGGGGAAAAGATAGATTTTCAAAATTTAACCCATTTGAATTGAACTAAACCCTATGGACACAAACATATTATAATTCTGAGCAAATATCGTCCTATTAAAGAAATTACCCTTTGCACTTTTGTCAATATATGCACCCTCGTGACTATTGCAATCTTAAATTTAAAAGTTAACTCACAAACAAGTTGCCCTTAAAGTTCAAAAGACGAGACAGTGTACACTTTTCAGCCTTACCTTGACTGCTGAAATTGAGCACTACAAATGCAAATTCAACAGTGCCATGAAGTAATGACATTACAAAACAGCCATGCTGAATGATTCCATCAACAAGAATAAATAAGAAACTTGGAAAAGGAAGAGAACATTGATGAATAAAAAAACTGATAGGGGAGATGTTAAAACTAGATAAAATAGTTTTTACCCCCAATGAATTTCTGTTTAAGATTGTACACAGGTCATAACCATTTAAAGCTAGTTTCTACTTTCTTCCCAAGTAGGACATAGGGACATAGTTATCAACAACCATGTAGACTGGCGATGGCATTTCCACAGGACAGTCTCTTTCAGTAGGTCATCCATGGTACTATAAAACTACCTTAGGGTCTTTATCCAGCCATGGCACAGTGGAGGACTACTCTGCTCAGGACTACTGTGGAGGTTGTGCATTTCAATTGTGAGGAAAGTTAGATACAGTAGTTTCTTAATGGATAGATGGTTTTACTTGTTGCTAAAGTAACTGCTAACGGCAGCTGCCTTTAGCTCAGTTAGCTGTGCAGCTACAGTGCTTTTTCAATTGTGAACAAAAGTTAGTTTCTTGATGGATACTTCTTACTAAAGTAACTGTTAACAACTTTTAACGGTAGCTGCAGTTAGCTAGTTAGCTCAGTTAGCCGTTCACCTTGAGGTCTCATTAGCTAGCTAGCGTTCAAAGCTCCTGTGCTAGCAGTGTAAACACCGACACTACCCCTGTGCTTGTGTCCTCTGTCCAGGAAGTCAGCTAAGCCCAAGTCCCTCCCGTTCCAATGGACCTAGATGGGAAAAAATACGTACAGTAGTCAACGGCAAGACACAACAAATTTTTGTATCCTTTTGGAATTGTGCCCTGAATTACACATTGTTTGTCAACTTAAAATATAAAGTTGAAAGTCAAGAAAGTTGCCGTTTGTCGTAAAACTGTTCAAGTATAAGACTGTGAAAATGCATTCTTTACAAAGACCACTTTATGCCACAAACCCAAAAGTCAGGCATGTAATGTAACTTTTTCTCACAATGACTGAAGCTAATGTTACTGAAGCTACTATTACTGAAGCTAACTTTAAACTTACATGTTTAGATGATGTGATGAAAGGACAAAGAGTGATTAAACACATCAGCTGAGATACATCTGAGCATGGAACATATAGGTATAGCTAGTAGCAACTAAGCAGTGAACGTTAGCTAGCATTACAGCATTAACCTATTGGAGATGAGAGATGTAGTTTTTTTTTTAATTGACAAACATATGTGTATTTCAATGAACAATTCAAATGGGATAAAAAAATAATTGTTTCTCAAGGTTGAACACTGAAATAAGGTCTATAGGGCTGGTAGCTGCATGGCTAATTGAGCTAAGTAGCTAACAGCAGCTACACGGCTCCCCTTTAAAACCCACAAATTCCCAGAAAATATTGAGGACATATGGCCTCAGTATCCTCGATGCTAGGTACAGCCTTGAACAGACCAGAATAGAATAGAAAATTTGATGTTACTGACAAAATAAGTCATCACAATAAAATCAGTAAACATTAGTTTATTGAAAACATTCTATCCAGCATTTTCTTAATGTTATCAAATAAATGTTCAAATAGGTTAAAAAAAACACCACAACGCAATGAAGTTTGACAAAGAGAAAGACAGAAAAAAACAATTCTGTTCTAACATCAGAAAGTGAAAGTGGGAATAAATAAAGTCGTAGTTGATGGTCAGTAGAATCATGTACTGTATATGCACCTATTTATGAAGATTAACATCATTTTATTTCAAACATTCTGTATTTTTTGTCTTCTCAACAAGGCGTCCTGTAATTGTTTAGATTAACAAACAACCTGGCACTCCACTATAAAGACAAGAAATGTGAAATCAGCAGTGGAAATATGCAATTTCATATTTTGATGTTGACATGAAAAGGATTTAAAAAAAACCTGATTCAGTTTTTTTTTCTCTGCTTGAACAACTTTACATTAAAGGTACTCTATTTTTCAAAAAACACAACGTTTCAGTCCCGTATCTGAGATTATCAGTGTTCCATGGCTCGTCAATCCTAGCCAGCTGTGGAGCACCGGAAGGGAAAATGCACCTCTGGGGTCCAAAGCAAAGAAGAAAACTTGATGCATACGCCACAAACCTTTTTTTAATTTTCATTTTTTAAAGTTTTTTTCTCATCACAACACTCTACACTGGTAAAGTTGCTCAGGGCAACAGTTCACTCAAGATGCAAGGGAGAGAAACCTTATAGCTCCAAATGCTGTCAAACTTGGCAAGATGCAGAGGAATGACGCATCTGTCTGATGTATCTGCAGAGAAATGAAAACACTATTACTTTACGTCTGTTCTGGGCCCACCGCTTTGCTCACCTGCTGCCTGGGCTGCTTGTGATCGAATTGGTTGAGACTTACTTAATTACTGAGTTGTCTGCCTCTATCTATATACTGGCAGATGAGTTTGTGACTTTGTGGTTTTGTGTGTGAGTGTGTGTGTGTGTGTGTTTAAGCAAGAGAGTAAACAACAGAAAGAAAGAGAGATGAGTGAGCTGTTTTTGACCCTTTTTTGATATCTTTAACAGAAGTTTTGGCACAGTTGTAAAACAGAGAAACAACACACAGACATCAGCACAATGTACGTATAGAAAAGGGAAATATTTTATTTAGTATCTGCAGAAATATGGGTCTTTGTATGATTATGTATATATGGAGGAATAAGAGTGGAAAGCATGGGTGTAAATAATATATACACATGACATTGAATACAAAAAAGAATGCACACATGGATGGTAAATACCATAAAAATTGATACAGTAAGAATTAAATTGGTACTCTGAGAATGAAATAGTGTAAGAAAAAAGACGTGATATGCAAGTATGTGTGAACTGAAATGTGTTTATCTCATTGTACTGACAGCTGATCTCTTTCCACATGATGCGTGTTGTTTATCAGTGTTTCCTAAAAGAACAGCCTGCCAATAGTGAGTGTTGTTAGAGCATGAGGCTGATCTGTCCCTTCTGCAGTATATGTGAGGTTAATCTCATCAGGACAAACACAAAAACTGAATTAACTTGTCAGATACCTGTGATTACCTGTGTTTATTTGAATTATCTAGGACCCGTTTTATTGTCCTGTTTTGGTGAAACAAATCCTTTTGGCTTGGGTCTGGTCTACCTCTAAAGCAAACCAGCCACAACAAATAAACCAACATCTAAAAATCACATGATTGTGAGACATGGGTATCGTGGGACAGTTTGAGAACACACTAAAGGGACAGAGGAACTACTGATCAAATGCCAATAAAACAAAGAAAAAAGGTGAAGCTTTATTGTTATTTATTTTACAAAGCATCAGTAAAATCAGCCCTGAAAGATCATTTGAATAACTGTAAAAACTGTCATCCTTTCAATTTGCCCTAGTATAAAAGTCTGTTTTAATACAAAGATATTAAGCTCCCAGAAGAGAGTTAGAAGACAAACATACTTGAAATAAATATGTTTGCCAAAAAAAGTACTCTTTGTTAAAATAAAACTGCCTGTCGAAAAGTTAGTCAACATAATTAAAAGGGAGTTTCTTTTAAGATACAAATTGTGAAATTAATTTTGCGCAATTCTCATTAGCCAATGATTTAACTTAGCAACAACATGCAATGCAATTACTTAATTATGAGGATGCTTTTTCTTATGTCCACATGACACATGTGTTAGTACCTTGGGGCAATTATTCTAATATTAGTATGTTAATGCTTTATGGCTATAAAAGAAGCATGCACAAGCCACACTACTCTGCCCAGAATTGTTAGCCAAATGAAACTACTTCTGGTTTTCCCAACAGTATTAGATTTAATTAGGTTAGTAATTAATTTAGTTTAATTCTAATTTTTTCTAATAAAGTAAATCTTCATAAGTTTGACAAGCTACTATAATTTGCTATTAAAATAATAAAACATATGCTACTAATTAAAAAAAAAACATGCTTAAAAATGAACTTGAAGATGTTTGATCACATTCATTTTCTTATCAGTGAGGACTCTATGACAATGACAGACATGAGGCTGACTAACATCCCTCAGTTAGTATTCGTTTGTTCATTCTAAAGGTCCATTTCTTTCCAGTGAGACAAAAGAAATCTGGATTGACTACAGTACGCACAGAGCTGCAGCTGGAGTGTTTTGATCTAGTCCTTTGTGTTCATCCTTGCACATGAATTCACATTACACATATTCAATATCCTTTTGTCAAAGTGTCCCTTCATCATCATCAGCATCATGCTGGTGTAAATCTCCGCTCCGCTTTTTCACATGTCAGTGATGCCCGTTCGTACTGATCCAGGATTGCACTATTCTCAAGAAGTCTACATGATGGAGACAATGCAACATAATGTAGAACATAAGCACACACACACACACACACACACAACAGGGCAGCACATTTTTCACACTAAAAGACAAAACAATGGGTAGCACTTTATGTGACTGCTCCATTATATGCAAGTATAAAACTGCAAGCATGAACTTCTACAGTCCTGCATTGAATTTTTACTACATTTAACTTTTTAATGAATAAGTTCACCTATCGGTTATTTAAATTTCAAATTTATTAACTAAAACTTCTTGTTATATTGTGCTTATTGCAACATTATGAAAGCACAGTCGTGGAGCACACACATGAACTGTTACACACAGGCATACATACTATGCTTCACAATTAACCAAACACAAAATCAAATACTACAAGTGACATAAATCATGCAAAACTACAGAGAAATTCTGTGTGTGATCAGTAAATATTTGTAAATTTCAAAGAGATTAAGAGGAAGATGCGATATTTAAATGATCTCAATGTGCTTTCTTTAGTGTGCATGCAAAAAATCCCACTGGTGTGACTGAATGAAAACACGTGGGATTGTGTCTGCTTTCAAATTTGTGCTTCTATGTGGACTTAACAAGAGTCTTTACACGACTGATATAAAATATTTGCTGTAGGCCTACTGGGAGAAAAGTGCAGAGGTTAGACATATTATTTGATAACAGCTTCAACTAAAGATGACTGAAAAAGTACATGCTAATGAATATCCACTGAGTGACATAATGTATGTCCCTTGGAAGACATACAGTAAGCGCTTGCATCACAAAGACTTCAAACAAACTCACTAGGAAGGCAAGATGGTTGCAAGCAAGAAAACCATCTTGTTGAAAATAAACAATTAAAAACATAAACAATTAAATATAAACCTGCGCAAAAATCACAGAAAAGAAAAAAAAAAGAACTTACATAAAAGTATATACTGACTGGGCAAATGATGACTACAGAACAACATATAAAGATGTTGATTGTTGAATAAGGGTGCTTACCTTGAGATTGTCTCTTAGACCCTAGTTGTGTTGTACTCTGATTCATGTTTGCTCAAAGAGCCAATGAGGCAGAACCTGAAATGTCATGGCTCTTTCATTTAATATCAAACTCTTTTTGCATAGAGAGGTCAGAATGCATAATGTGCTACATAACAGGAATAAACTTCATTAGTGCTTTGCTAGTCTGTGGGAGCCTTGCATGCAGACTTGTAGAAAATGAATAAACAGTCAAGAACACTCTGGAAAGAGCACATAGAAAGTGCATGCAGGAGAAGGTTGCACTCCAGAAATGTACTCTGATACCTTCACACAGTGTTTTTGTAAACATATACAGTTACTTTTCAAGCAGTCAAGGTGCAGGTACACAGGAAAATACTTTTTTAAAATAGAAAATCTTGTTCATGCCAAAATGTTGAGCTACATAGAATAATTGTTATATATTTTCAGTGGCACAGTTAGGAATAAAAATGCATATTTTATAATAATTTGCATTCATGGCAATGAAGTTAGTCATCTGTATGAGGCACAGATTCAAGCCCTTGTGTTACTGATTACAGAATTAATATCTTTTAAAATTAAGTCTGCATTTGCTTAAAGAGCTCCATTTGAGGAAACTAGCTTGACATGTTGACAAAGATGGGCATGCAAGAGGGGGGCAAGTTTGTCTATCATAATTTAGCCCTTTGTAAATTTGTTTAATTTAAATTAGAAAGGGGGGAAAGAACAAGGATCAGTGCAAAAAAAAAAGGTTATCATAATCTTAAAAAAATAATGAGAGGAAGAGGAAGAACTTAGCTAAAATAAGAGGGGAAACAAAAATAAATGTAAGTATCCCACACACATTTCAAACATCCCCATAGGTAACTCTAGGGTTGTTGTTCTTTCCTCATCAGAAATCTATGGATACTGACCGCTGTACTGCCTTTTCGTGGCGTGAAAGCCGGTGGCTGGTGGTGGGAACGTCTTCCAGGTCGTCGTCCAGGTCACATCCATTGTCTGCTGCCTCTTGCGAGTAGCTGTGCTTCATGACCAAGATGCTCCTGCGGTTTCCAGTGGCCGGCAGCAAGGGCCGCACTGCCATGGGTGGCTGTGGAAGGTCTGTGAGCAGAGTGGCGGCCGCAGCGTCTCGAGTGCTCAAGTTCCCGCGGCTTCCTCGTCCACTGAGTGACAGCTGGGATATGTGGGCTGAGCCGGGGTTGGAGGAGGAGCCACAGTGGTGATCGTGGACGCAACGTGAGGAGGCACGGCGAAGGGCGTGATAGTTCTCAAAGTCTTCTGCCAGGTCGACTAAGTCTGCTGAGGCCGCAGCGGCTGTGGTGGCACTCCGTAAAGTACACAGCTCATAGTGAGGCGGCTCAAAGACCTCCTGGAACATGGTGGGGTCAAAGTCTTCACGCCGCAGGATGTACTTTTTACGTGGCTGCTTGATCTGGACGATGACAGAGACGATGAGGAGGATGAGGACGATGCAACAGGTGACACCAATTATGGTGCCGTTTGTGTTGTTGAGGTTGTCCAGTATGTTGGCTTTCCTCTTCTCTGAACAGTGGTAGAGAGACAGCACAACAGAAAGAGAACGTTTATGAGAATATAAACTATATGGCCCTATTAGAAGTCTTGCAAAAGTTATGAAGATAATGATCACAATGAAAAAACACAGTTAATTCACCATTTGCTAAACCCCTCATGAAGCAGTGATTATACAATCATAGCCTAGCAAATGTAATTATGCACGGCAGGTTTGTCAAGCTTTGGATTTCTTTAAGGCTGTAGTAAGAGAGAAGCTCCTTATATAAAGGGTTTGGGTGGTGGATTCTTTTGTTAGCCTTTCCGAAAAACCAAAAACACAAGTTTAATGGGTTGAATTAAACCGTGTGTCTGTCTGCTCCAAACATAACATACTACCAACAGTAGTTACCAAACCAAACATTACTTCCAAGGCCAGGGGCATTTCCTACTGCATGTAATAGAAAAGCCCCATTCACAACTAGCAAATCCACTGTGTAGTATTTCTCCACTGTGTGGAAACTGGTCCTGGAGGTTACTGTATCATAGTGTAAACATTGCTCTGTCCTGCTCAATTGGATTTTGGGAAGTTTACACACCAGCAAGTCAAACTTGTTCCTCAAGATAGCATTACATTCATCAAACACAGTGGTTTGTCCTCATCCTAAAAGCCTTTTCTACTGTAACGTTAAGTTTTAAACTTACAGTTTGAAAATATGAACAACTAAGCATCTGTGCTCTCTCTTGCTTGTCCAAGTCATAGGCCCAAGTATGTAAGCTAAGCAGCCAACCAGGGTTATGTTTCAATGAAATAATAAAAAAATAAAAAATATATAATTAAAATATGAGGACTAACTAGCTCTATGCTGCAATACAAAAACAATGCAGGTGGATCATCAAGATTTTCGAGAGGTAATCTGCCACTGTTATCCTTCTAGATTGCACATGTGCTTTGTGAGAATAGAAAGTTTGACAGGCATCGCAGCAGGTGTGGAGCTTAGCACGCGGTCATAAAATTTCTTTAGCAATGGCACAAAGAAGGAAATACTATAGCTCACATGTAAAGGAATCGTCTAACAAATGGACTTAAAAGTGCAAGAGTAAGGCCATGCCTTTCATGAGCTATCAAAAGAGGGACCAAAAGGTCCTATTGGGTATAGTCTAACAATCACAAGGGAAACCACAAAGAGTAGCACAGACTAACCATGTGTGTAGAGGTAACCTGTGGGGAGATCTGTGACATTTAAATGCTGGATGAACATGTAGTGCAACACACTGCGCTTCAATGACTGAATGGTTGAGTAAATGGTTACATTCAGAAGTATAAAGAAGAAAGGAATAAAACTTGACATTTTACCACTAATGAGGATAAATGTGGGCACTGCGGTGGCCCTATGCTTTACTAGAGTGGTGAGAAGATGGAAGACTAACAGACAGAGAAACATGGCCTCTTCTTGCTGAGTTCTGCACAATTTCAAACTCAGCGTTGAAAGGTATCTTAGTCTGAGTGAGGAATGGGCCATGTAGGATTAACTTAATTGATGCTGTTTGTCAGTGGCTCTGCTTATAGCTTCAGAGAGTTACAGTACTGTACATACGGTATACAGAGGCATCTCTGTGTGCAGCTTGTCTGTCTGATCTAAAGGAAGCTGCACTGGTGGGCTGGGAGTTTATGGCAAACAAATGAGAAACTGAAGAAAAAATGTAAGAGAGAGAGAGTTTGTGTATATGTTTGACAAAAAAACAAGCTAGAACTCATCTTAACAGCAAGACAAGCAAAACAGCGTAATGATCATCAAGATGTTTATTGATCTGGGAATTTCAGTATTATACGGTTCAGGGGATACTGTATGGACTTCATCTTATGTACTTATAAATACAGTGATGAGTCATGAAAGGTCAAGGAACAGAAGACAAATTCATTGGCAAGATAATGCAAAGAAAAACTGGCTTGTCCTCAGAGTCTTTACACATCTCAACACAGGAACCCACCACTCACATCATTGCCTTTAAAATGGCTGATTAATGGCTGATCAAAATTTAAGTGGACCATATTTCACAATGGTGTGGTTGCTGGGGTAATATGTGAAATACTAATAGTACCTGGATAGATAGTACTATAAAGTACTATTAGTAGCAGTAGAAGTAGTGACTAGTAGTAGTAGTAGTAGTAGTAGTAGTAGTAGTAGTAGTAGTAGTAGAGACAAAAGGACAGCCATTCAGTCTATGGTTCAAACCCACTCTGTTTCCCTGCCGCTTTCCATGGTGCTGAAACATTAAGCGTCTCTCTCTGGTGTCCCTCTTCATGTTGCTATAAATATTTCACCTGAAATGTAACATCTCACCTTTACATTGGTTCTCATCCCAGGGGTAGACACAGTTCTGCATGCCATTGCACACCAGCGTGTTGTTTATGCACATGTTACTGTGACAGAAGAAGGCATCTGCATCACATGGAGCTGGAAAGGGACAGAGCAAATTAACACGATATTGCATTGAGAGCTTTTTAAAGTAAAAGACATCCATTGTGGTACTATCTTAACTGAAACTTTCTCTCTTAGCAATCCAATCAGAAGCCATAGAAACAGTTGAGTAAAAAGTTACTACTACGACTACTTTTTGGTGAATCTCTCATTATTAACAACAGCAAATGTGTAGCACACTTAGATATGCTGCAGCACAAATCAGCATTTGAAGTACAGCTGAAGAGAAGTCCCAGTGTGCCAGATTCTTGAGGAAATAAATTTGGATGGGCATTACTCAAATCAGACCTGTTCCCCCGAAACCCATCTGTTCTTCATGAATTTTCATCCTCTTCAAACATTTGCAGAGACAACTTGTGGATATGAATGAATTCCTTGTGTGTGTATGTGTGTGTACTGTAGGCTACGTGTGTGTGTGTGTGTGTGTGTGTGTGTGTGTGTGTGTGGTGTCTGGAAAAACAGCCATGACATTTCACAATCATCTGCACGCAAAACAAACCCCAAACTAATTCTGTTTATTTGTGCAAGATGTTGTTTATTTGTCCTTAGCGCACAGCCCTTATCAACACAAATCTAAACAGACGATAAAAAAGAGCTTATCCTCAAACATATGATCCATCTTGACACCTGCCCTCCCAGTATGGCCTTTCTGCGATCACATCTCCACCTTTCTATGTGTGAGAGGTAGAGCCACCCATCAGCCAGACATGGTCATAAAACCAGTGTCATAATGTTTCAGGCTCCGTCGTAACATATATGCGGCGATGGAGCTACATAATTTAAAGCCAAGGTGCCCTTGCTCTCAACAGCCAATCATGCTAATGCATAAACGAGCTGATTGGCCAATTCATTGCTTCCTACTGTCAATCACAGACAGTGCCATGGCAAGCTAACCACATTCTAAATTAGATTGTCCTATCTACTCTACAGTGTATAGTGTAATTTCACTGCTACCAGGTAGAGATTTTATTTTAGGATTATACAGCAGTAGTTGTCTCTTTCCACTGCAGGCAAAGGAAACATATGTCAATACTGGATTTAGAGGATTTTTGTATCAGTGTGATGTGATGTGTTTCACTGGGTTAGCCAAAAACACTATTTCCCATCTGATTATATTCATCTATAAAGTTTCTTAACTGAATTACCAGATAATCTGTTGTATCAACATATATTTCAATATTGCCATATACAATTATATATTGTAAGAAGACTTCAGCCATTGTCCACCCTAGGCAAAATGTACACACACAATGTCAGATCCTTTACTTAAGGAAAAGTAGCAATACCACACTCCATTAAAAGAAAAAAGGATTAAAAATGTGACAAATGTACCCAGTATTATCTGCAAAATACAGTTAAATATAAGTATGTTGTTGTATTAATATCACCGATGCTTTAAAGTGCATGCAACAATTTAATGTTTCAGCTGGTCAAGGTGGAGGTCATTTTAACTATTTTACATACCGTTGGGTTATTAATTGTATAAAAAGGTATTTTACAAGCTCATTATAGCAATGCCAGATATATGTAGTGGAGTACAATATTTACCTCCAAAATGTAATGTGTTAGAACTAAACAGAATAAAAACTCAAGAAAAGTACAAGTACTTAATTAAGTGCAATACTTTACTTAGTTACATTCCACCATTGCAGAATAGTATTAACCAATCACCCATAACAAGTACTATCCCTTAGTATACATACTATCCATTTTGCACGTGGTCTTGTGGGAAAGTATGTGAAGAGTAAAAGTGTTCCAAAAGTTACTTATTTGCCACTGACATGTGAATATAATGGATGGCTCTATTTAGGTGCTGTCTGTTTGGTAGTGGATTAGACGTCCAACCACTCTCTCTCTCTCTCTCTCTCTCTCTCTCTATCGCTCTCTCTGTATGTCTCTCATTCGCTCTCTTTATCTCTCATTCTCTCCCCTCTCACACACAACACTGGCACTGGGTACTAAAGCAGCTTGCCAGTGGTATGGGAGAGCTGGGGACTATTTGACAGTGTTACCACTGTGATGCATGGCTGTTTTCATCCCAGCACTCATCCCAAGTGAATAATAACACACCAAATTAGAGTGACTTATCTCTATCTGTCTCTGTATCCCATCCTGTCTGGGCCTTTGCCAGCATCGCCTGAGTCAAACTGGCTCTCTGTGTGTGTTCTGATACTCCTCTTCTCGTTTTCTCCCCCTACCTCTGTTTCTGAGTTTCTCTCTTTCTCTTCCTTCTTCTTTCACACAGTATAGCCAAAAGCTGTGACCATTTGTTTTTTCTGTGTGTTAATAACCAGCAGAGGGAGCTCACACCTTCTCCTCTTGCTACTGGTCCTTCTGTCTCCTCTGCACACCACAGGGCGAGACCCAACGTTATAAAGAGTGAGATCCACACTAATCTCCTGCAAAATTAATTTCAAGACATTCTGTAATAAAAGTGCCCTTTAGCCCACACAGAAATATTCCCAGTCACTGCTGGAAGCATAAATTAACTCCTAAATGAGTGGCTGATGAAAATAGTCTGGGTGTCTCTGCAGAGGGAGCAAAGAGGCTTCTGCAGTGAAGCGCTAGAAGCAAAACATATTATGAATGTTTTAAACGAAATAACCATTATAGAGCTGTGTTTAGTGTGTTTTTGCGCTATAGGAGTGTAGTAGGGCTATTTCTAGGAGATGAGTATGGTGTGTCTTTACCCGCTTTTTTTGTGTTTTTCATTTTGTAATAATCTATTTCTTAAGGAAACTTAAGAAGGCATAATTTCAGTGCCAAGGTCTTATGAACGTCTACAGAGGAACAATAGAAAGCATCCTGAGAGGAAACATCACAAACTGGTGGCCTCTGCAGCGGGTGATTAAAATCGCATACCTCATTGGTTGAGCATCAAGAGATATCGGTGAGGTGAGCGACTTGAGCAGAGCCCACAGTATACCCAGCCACTGCCTGTTCATCCTGCTGCCGTCTGGCAAGAGATACAGAAATATCTGTAGTCGCACCACCAGACTGCAGAGCAGGGTCTTCCTCCAGGTTGTGAGACTCTAAATTTGATCCTCTCACCATGTAAAATAGTTGTATTTCTTTATCCACAAATCTAGTGTATATAATTTTTGTCATATAACATTTGCTTTTTGTGAGTAGCATAAAGAGAACTACAACTTCATCTTGTTATACAACCCTGTGTTGTAAAATCATAAATACCTTGTACCTTTTTTTCAGCCCCCACACCTGCAGTAATATATTCTTTCTCTTTTTTATTTATTTTTCAAATGCAATGTTTTTTTTTCTTTTTAATCATTATCTTAATGAATAACAATTAATGGTATGTACTTTCATGGCTGACAGTACATACTGTAACTCTCTCTCTGTGGGAATCAATTATCCCTATCTTGCCTGCAGCTATGGAGTTCAAAATGCTCTTTATTGCTACCAGAAAAACAAACCACGTCTACCCAGTACCAGACCACATCTAGTCTCCCTGCACTGGTTACCAGCAGAAAAATATACTGTACAATAGATTTTATTTGTTTTTAAAGCACGGCATGGACTGGCACATGCTTATATCTCCAATCTTCTTAGGCCTTTAATGATTAATAAAAATATAAAATGCCTTAAATTTTGTCTGTAACGGTTGCCTCTTTGTTATCATCTTAATTATTTCATTTGTATTTTAAAAGTACTTTGGTCAACACTTGACTAATGCTTACAATTCAGCTTGTATTCTTAGTCAAACTCCTGTTGGCCCTCAGACATGAGTACGAGAAATTCTATATGTAAGAGTTGCTAGATTATATTGTATGATGTAAATGCACCAGGCAAAAACAGTAGGCTTTGCCAGCGGATTACATGTTCTACATTTGTTATCAACTAAATCCCGGTCCATGGAATTTCTCCAAACCCTGGATATTGCGAAAGCCAATTGCCCACCCACTCATCCACCCGTCCAGCCATCCATCCATCATCCATCCAGTAATTCTTCTTATCTTACTGTACTTTGCTTTACAATGCTACAATCAAATATTCCCACAGTATACTTTCTAATCCCAAAGCAGCTGAGATAACAAGTGCGCAGAGATGATATAATCTGATCTAAGACCTAGCAAATATCCATATGTTAACAGACATTAGCATACTGTGCTGTTCTCAAATGCTTTCATGCATGCAGTAAAAGAAGCTTTGCAAGAAACAAGAACTGATATGTGTAGTGAAGCCAGAGCAAATTTTCATCTGCAACCCCAGAGACGGGGATCTGTCGATGAGGCATAACAATGCTGACAGCTCAGATGTCACACAAGCACATTTATCACCTAGACATAATTGCTTCTTGAGAAAAGAAAGGCTTCACTTTCTTATACTTTAAATTAGTAAAATCTTACGCTGTAGTTCTGCATCGCAGGAGTGTGTGTGTGTGTGAGAGAGAGAGTGTGGAAACAGTGCATCATCAGTAGTATCAGCTGCAGCAGGTGTGAACACAGCGTGGATGGTAAAGGTGGAGGTTTGCATTTGGGAGCATTGCTCTCCCCATTGGAGCATCTAGTTGGGCGTCAGCAGCTGTGAATGGTTCTCTAAAAGCTGCTGGTCCTACAAACATACAGGCTTGGGATCCACTGTAGCAAGGAAGTGCTTATTGTAAAAAATAAATAAATAAAAGGCCTATAAACTGCTAACCCAGCTAGCGCACCTGTAACAGTACAGGTACACACACTCCCTTGTAGTAGTAACACAATGACTCCCTTTCACCTGAGGAGGGGAATTAAATAGCTTCTTGCTGTATTTTTTTAGCACACAGTGCACCTAGTACCTCACCTTACATTGTCCATGTCTGTCGACTGTACTTGCCTGCTCTCTTGATGATTTTTAAATTGTATTTATTTACTTTAATTCATCACTTTGATAAAATGTGTAGTTATTAATAGCGCCAGCTTTCTGGTCAACAAACCCCTGTCCAGCTGCACCGCTCGCCACATTGAACACTTTTCTGTGATATATACATGTCACTAAATGGTGTCATTTTCAAGTTTTCCATATTTGTTGTAGACAAGTGAATAGAAGGTATGTAGTTGTTGGGGTTTTTTTTGTTAAGTCAAGAGAAACTTTAATGGGAGCATTGTACAGACAGATTTCAGTTCAAGAAAAACCTGTTAACTACATACTACAGAGCAGTAGAAGCACTTTAGACAGCACACATGAATGAATTACTTGTCTTAGTGCTTGTACGCCACCTGTATACATCCACTGTTGGCAGGGCTGGTGCAGTGCTGTGGTGGATGCTGCTCTAAAGACGGAGGTCTAGCTGGGGATCGCCTAAGTGACTTAGGGAGAAGTGTTGCCCCGGCAACAGCACATCCTGGCTCTGCTTGGTGAAAAGGCCTTACAAAAGGGACACTGACTTCACAACACAAACAACTCCACTGCCACTGCTGTCACCTATGGTGTAGAAGCTAGCCCCTTATCTCTTCATCATCACTGTAACATGCACATGCGAGCGATACAGACATGTTGTAGAAATGTAAGGAGTGACGACTGATTGTCCTTCAGGGTCTGGTGATTCCTTATATATGTGGATATAGTTTAAGACGTTCAATAAATCAACCATGCAGCATGAAGGAAAGGTTAATTAAACTCACTTAAATACCCATTCTAGGTTCATGTATTTATCTGAAAATTATTTCATTTTCTTAATACCCCAATATGATGCACTGTGGCATTAATAGAGCATTCTGAAAAGAAGCATCTGACATAGTTTCTCCTTTTTCCATCATAAAAATAAAGAGCTAAGCACCTCTTTGAAATTTCAGGGGAACTGTAAACCATTTTTCAGATATTCAGCGAATAAGTGTAACATAATGTGTATCATGTTATGATTAATTTTTTGGTGGGGGCATTGTTTCAGTTTTGTATCTCATCCTTTCTGGATTTTTCTCTTCATTTTCCAAAACTGCAGATGCAATGTTCAGTAGTGCAGTGTGTGTGTGTGTGTGTGTGTGTGTGTGTGTGCGCGCACAACTGTGTGCTTGTATCTGTGGCATAAAAAGGCACTGAATACTCACAAGCCTCAGACCGCTCTTCATTCACCTCACTAGTACAAAGAATGCCCTCTGCAACCCCTGTCAAGCTACAAGCCCCATCAATGGAAAGCCGGTGAATGAGAAAGAGGAAGACTGTGTTTGTTTACAGTGTGTGTGTGTGTGTGTGTGAATTTGAATCTCTCCCAGGAGTTTGGCTGAAAGAAAACGGGTACATGGCAACATACTGTAGCTCATCCTGATATTCCTTTGTCTCAGAGTCTCTCCAGCTCGCTCTCTTTCCATTTATCTATCTATCCATTAAGAATAGTGCTGTGGTGCTGCAGTGCTGAGCTAAAATCCACCAATACTGTCATATTCACAATCACCCACAGGCAATATTCTCCATAATGGAATTCATATTCCTTGGTTTCCTGCTTGTTGCTGTTTAAATGGTAATAAAACTAAATAGAAACCTCAGACAGCACCTTTCCTATGAACAACAAAAGATATAACTTGCCATAAATGAGATCGCTGTGCTACCAATGAAGACTGGGCCCGTTTTATTTTGGCGTCAGTGTTGCTTTCATTGAGTAGTGGTCTGAATAATAAAGCTAATCAGTTTCCCTCAGCAGGTGGGTCATGTTGCAGTGAAAACCTCTTTATGATAAACAGCACATGTGTGCGAGGGTAGATATCTGTTGCCTCTTACGTTCTTGGTAGGTTGTGAATAAGATGCGGAAGCGGCTTTTGCGGCTGGCTTCATCTGCCCACATGCGGATGACGCCCAGCGTCGAAACCAGCATGATGTCGTTGGCCACCGTGGAGCAGAACTTGCTCTTCAGGTCTTCCACTGAACTGAGACAAGACAGGATGAGATAAGAATACATAGTTTATCATCAGGTAGCATGGTTATTTGCTGTGCGTTTAAATAACTTATAGAACAAAACTGATCAGAGCAGTCATGGTTGCTCATATTTTTATAGGCCCATTATCATGTGATATTTGTATTCTGGTTATCTCAAGATAACAAGTTAGATTGTTAGGGAGCTCATATTTGTTTTTATGCCTATTGTAGTTCATGATTCAATTATATCTTTATCTCAAGATTGTATCTCTTATATTGTTTTCTTTGATGGCAATTTTAATACCTCATTATCTTGAGATAGAAAGAAGTTACGGATTTGCAAGTGACGTTGCCTATAATATTGTCATCTGGCTGTTGTATTAAAGGAATAGCTACATATATAGTTAAATAGGTAGTTGGAAAATACACTTGCTTTTTTGCCGAGAGCTCGATGAGAAGATTGACACCTTTCTCATACCTGTCTGCGCAATATGAACCAGCAGATAGTTAGCTTAGCTTAGCATAAATGGGAATGGAAGGAAGGAGAAAAGAGCTAGCCTGGTTGTCCACGAGTAAAAAAATCCCCCTACTTGCACTTTTAAAGCTCACTAACATGTTATTTCTTTGGTTGTTGAATCCACACACAAAGAATGCAAAAACAAAAAATGTGTGTGTATTTCTTGGCCAGGTGCTGTGACTTTCTGAAGTCTCCAATTGTGGCCTACCAACCTCTTGGTGACAAAAAGACTCCCACTCCAATGAAGGTTAAAGTCAAGGGCAACTGAACTTGGTTGAAGATACTGGAAGACGTTTTGTCCCTCATCCAAAGGACTTCTTCAGTTCTGACTGACTGGTAGGGAAACTCAGCTATTTAACCTCAGTGGTGTCATTTGCCAGGATCGTCGATACTGCTGGTTCATTAGTGTTCCTTGTGGTGGTGATGGTGCATAGATAAGATGCTTGCCTTTGGTGTGAGAGACCTGGGTTCAATTCCCACTGTGAGCCATTCACCATTGTGTCCCTGAGCAAGACACTTAACCTCTTGTTGCTCCACAGGCGTGCGACCTCTGACATGTATATTTGGATAAAAGCGTCAGCTAAATGAATAAATGTTCCTGGCTAGCAGTCGTTATGGTCGTTACTACTACCCGAGGCCAAGACTGAACGACCATCGTTGGCATCTTCACCTGAGGCCAATAGGTTACATTTGTTGAGTTTCCTGGGAAGTGATGAAAGGACCGCATTGTAAGTGGAGGATAAGTGGTGGCGTAGACCCCCTCCCCTGTTCAATGACGGCCTCTTGACCCAGGTGTAGATGCATTGGACCGCATACACTAGATTACTTTTCTTGTGTTTTGGTGTGTCTTTGGGGTGTACCAGCATCTGTCTTAGCGTGTTCTTGGGTTTAAAAAACACAGGGATGTTGTGTTTGTTGAAAATCCTCCTGAGTTTCTCTGATAATCCAGACACATATGGAATCACAATGTTGTTGTGTTTGACCTTCTTTTCTTCATCCCCTGTAGTTTTGCTCTTCTTGGATCTTGTGGGTGTGTTCACAAAGGTCCATTTAGGGTATACACAGGCTGTAAGTGCCCCCTTCAGGTGGTTCTCTTCCTTCTCTCTGGCTTGGGTGCTTGTTGGTATGTTGTGCGCTCTGTGGTGCAGTGTGCTCATGACCCCTAGCTTTACTTACATCTGAAGGACAGAGGACACTCGTTTGAGGACCACCAGGTGCACATCTTAGACAGAGAACACAGATGGTTTGAAAGAGGTGTCAAGGAAGCCATCTACACCAGGGTTGAGAAGCCATCGCTGAACAGAGGAGGGGGTCTACGCCACCACTTATCCTCCACTTACAATGCGGTCCTTTCATCACTTCCCAGGAAACTCAACAAATGTAACCTATTGGCCTCAGGTGAAGATGCAAACGATGGTCGTTCAGTCTTGGCCTCAGTTAGTCCTAACTACTGTAACGACTGTCGTTACGCCAGCCAGGAACACTAACGAACCAGCGGTATCGATGATCCTGGCAAACTCCACTGAGGTTAAATAGCTGAGTTTCCCTGCCAGTCAGTCAGAACTGAAGAAGTCCTTTGGATGAGGGACGAAACGTCTTCCAGTATCTTCAACCAAGTCCAGTTGCCCTTGACTTTAACCTTCATTGGATAACTATGACCTGGATGACTGAGAATCTTCACAGACAAGACTCCCACTGTTTCCACTCTTTGAGCTAAGCTAAACTGCTGCCTGTGGCTACATATTTACAGTACATACATTAGAGTGTTATTCACCTTTTCATCTAACTCTTTCTGAAAAAGTTTTATTAATTATTACTTTAACTGTAAATGACAAACGCTTGAAATTTGTGTTGAATAGAAAATTACAATGATATTGCTCCACGTCTCAGAAATGGATTCCTGTAAAGTAAAATCTGAGTTGTTCATCAGTCTTGGGCTTTAGCTCTCAGTCTGTTACCAAGTAGGTTATGTGAGGCTAAGCTAACGTGGACAGACAAGGGCAAGGGAACTATATCTTGTCCTAACCATTCATTTCTTGTCTTGACAAAATTCAATATTCAAATCTTCATCAGAAAAAGCCCAATTGTAAATTGCAAGTTTTTATCTCAAAATAAGGAGATGATTAAAATTAACAAGCAACTAAGTCCACTTTAAATCTCTCTATGAGTCATCAAAATGAAAGGTTAAAAAGTCCCACCTGCCACCATCATATACTGCCACAAAGTTGCGCTTGCATTCATTGGAATTGGCCATCTCATAGTCGAGAAAACGCAGGTATATCTGTCAAATGCAAGGAGGCAAAGTGGAGGGAAAACACAGAGAGAACTTTAAAGATGTCAACATGACAGAGTGAAAAAAAGCTGAACAGGAGGAGGAGTGGTGACAGAAAAACTCCTATTCTCCTGGATTGTGCATTAGCCCGGTGCATAGCAGCTCTGTATATAGCAGCTCTGTAATGAAATAACGCTGACAGACTGCAGCTTGTACAAAGTCATTACATACACATATCAAATGAGGACTCAGAGAATGACAGAGTATATTAGCTTTACACTCATTATCCATATCTGTTGAGATAAAGCATTACACAAAACCTACAACCTTGTTAAACCTCAAGGAGACCTTGGACATTTTTCCCCGAACTTTGGATGTCTTCCACTTGAAGTTCATTCAAGAAATTCAGTTGAAATTCAGTCTAAATGTTTACATCATTGGAGTCCAAACATATGCAGTTTAAAAATAAGACTTTCTAAATGCTGTGTATTTGTATAGTGCCTTTCTAGTCTTTGTGACAACTCAAAGCGCTTCTACACTATATTGCATTCACCATTCACACACAATTATAAACTGAGCCTAAGTGCTCAAACAGAAACTAACATTGATACACTGGTGGAATAACAACCAGGGGCCATTCGGGATTCAGTATCTTGCCCAAGGACACTTTGACATGCAGCCTGGAGGAGCCAGGGATTGAACCGCCACTCTTCCGATTGATGGGCAACCCACTCTATCCCCCGAGCCACAGACACCCACTTTCAAATGATGGCAGATATATACAGCGTATGGACTATTTGATTATGCTAACAACCCCTTGTTGAGAGAAATATCCACCTTGCTATCCACCTTGACTCTTCACAACAGCTATTCTAGGTGAAACTCACACTTCCTGATTGCTTCCGCATCATTGTCTGTCACTCATTCATCAGGCGGAGATCGCCCAATCACAGCCATGGTTCCGGTTGGGTGGGCACAGCACTCGCCATCATTACGGTTAATGAGCGGACCGCTCCCGAACTGTGACAGGGGAATGTGACACTTTAAATGCCCAAAGACGAAAGCTGCAGATCGAGCAGGATGATGGACCTTGCAATGTCAACTCCGCTTCAACAACATGACAAGCAAAATGGAATCGCGGAGGGGGAAAACCAAAATTCCCTCGAGGTCTCATACTGGTGTCAATAATGTTCCATCTAATAAATTTGTCATATTCAGCCACTCTTTTGGCTATATTGGCTTTGTCATACGAGTCATGGCACTTTTGTTTTCCATCCTGTGACACTGGAATGAAATACTACTCAACCAGTTTCATGATGCAAAGATGAATGTACGTATATATCTATATCTATCTATATCTATAGAGATAAGTACTGCATGGGGAGTATATGCTCTTCCTAAAATTTATTTGTCGCACAGAGTCTCTGCAGGGAGGGCTGGAAGATAGAAGAGGAAGACAATTGCTTAGCAGACGTCACTGTGGAGTGCTGTTGTGGTCTCTTCAATATTGTATGGATTTTCAATACAGCACCTTTAAATGTCATCAAAAGATTGAGAATGTGGATATAAAATGTGGCTTCTCAACGGGGTGGATGAACTCAGAGAGACACAGTGATTAGGTCAGTGATCTGAGAGGAACGTCACTTTACATTGTAGGAAGTTGCACAAAAAATGGTGCTACAAATGGCTTTTTTCACGCTTAGGATTTGAAGAAAACGGTTAGCAGTCACTTACACTATGAACAGGTAAAGAACAAAGTTATGGGTGGATGATGTTTAAAAATGGCTCCATTCCATGTGGCATGTTGCCAAAGAAGTCTGATTAAATGTGTTATTGTTAAGGTTATAGTCAAGGTTAAGGTTATGGTTAGGTGCTCTCTGCCAACGTTGTCTCCATTTGTTTTAGAGTTGAATACGCCAATAATGAGAAAAAGTAACACTAAGCATGTTAATTAGGTCACTTGGCCCAGTCTTTCTAGTCAGCTAGAAGCAGCCAAATGACACATGAAGTTTTCCACCCACAGCATAAAGAATATAGTTAATGCAGCAGTCTGTAACCAATAAAAGTGAATTTAATCAGGGGAGACGAATTACAAACACAAAACAATGTTGAATAGACTACATCTGTTGGTAAAAGCTGATTAAAGCAATGTACCTACGGACATTAAAGAGCATAATCTCCCAGCTTGACTGATCAGAACTGATTTTGTATGGCATAATAAGACTGCTGGTGTTGTTGGGGATAGTGGTGGCTGGATTTTTATATTGCATTCACAGATGGATGTTTTGCCACAGCACTCTGTACACACATTCCTGGTATCAAGAGGATAAAACATACCGACTTTGGTGATCCCCCAATGTTTTTATTTATCCTGTTAAAGATCTCAACATCTGCTGGATGGATTGAAACAAGAGTTTGTACAAGCCATTCATGGTTCTGTGGCCAGGCCAATCTCCACACATTCACAACAAGTGTACTGTTTATTGCTGTAGCATACAGTTTCTTATAATTTTATTACTACACACAAACATTGTTCGATACTTTGGTTTATGAAATACTAAAATTTCCCTTCAGCCAGCTGCACTTTGTGTTTAGTGCTAACTAGCAAATGTTAGCATGTTAACACGATAAAACAAAGATGGTGAACATGGTAAACATTATACCTGCTTAACATCAGCATGTTGCTAACATTGTCATTGAACAAATATTAGTAAACTAATGTTAGCATGTAGCTCAAAACACTGCTGTGTCTTAGTATAGCCGTACTGCTATTGTTGTGTTTTAATTTTTATTTAATTTATTTTAACAGCATTAAGACACTCTTTTCTCGTCTCTTTAACAAGGGAGTCCTGTCATGTCATCAGCGAGGCTGTAGACTAGTCTTGTTATTCTCTGCATCATAGATATGTATCACTTGCTATGTGATTTCAGGCCATACGTGGTCTGGTTTAGAGAGTATTTTGTGTATTTGTATCTCTCAGTATTGCCTGTCTGACTGGCTTCAGTCAGTGCTTTTGGAACCTTTGTAAACTGCCCAATTTGATATAGTGTACCAAGAATTGGACACATTTTTTGAAGACCTCTAAGTTTGCAGAATAACTGCTAGTTTGTTTTCTTCCATTGTATTTTTGTAAGCGTATAGGTGCTGACTTCTTTGTTCTTTAGTGAATTTTGAGCCAAGAGCTAAGAAAGTGTCTTTGGATAAGAACCTCTTTTGTTTTACTTAACGGCCTCTTTCTGTTGTATTTCCTGTGCAAGCACTGTCCATGGTTAATTAAACACCTGACTTTTGTAGTGAACAACGGTGTGGATTTGTGCATTTTGTATTGAATAAATTTGGAACTACTACAAATTCCTTTTTTTCTCCCACAGAGGAGCAGGGGGGTCAAAGTTGCTTTCTCTAAGTGCTATCCCTGACCATAAAACTGGCACCTTTTGATTCCGAAGCTGATAACGCGGGGCCTGACTGTTAAACTGACAAGAGACTCAAAGCATTTAATTAAGTTTAATTAAATCTTTAGTTACTTGATTACGTTTGCCTCTATTTGAGTAGTTATGTTAACATGTTGCTATCTGTTGTTGATATTAGTGCTGAAAAGAAAGTTACTTTTGCAGTGTTTTTATTTTCAGCAAGACACTCCATCTAATGTAATCAATGCTTGTTCATAATACTTTCCTACAGAATTCCTTTAGAAATGATGACAAAGGAATGTTTTACTATACTCTTAACCGCCAGCTTGAATTTAAGGATGAATCAACAATATTCCCCAGTTCCTAAGGAGAGATGATCTTGGATTAATCTAAGCTTTCCTCAGGTAACCTGAGCTCCCCCAAGTGGATGAAATAAGTATTACATACCCTCGTTGGAAATGCCGTTAAATGTATAAATATCCTGACCAATAATGTGACAATTGTTTCCTGTTACCAAATGCTTAACTTAGAACAGTACAACCGTTTCACCATTGAGGTTCGACTGTGGAAAATATTTGTATATAATACGCGCAAATAGATATATTTTCTTTTAGACCTTAAGTTTAGAAAGGCAGTCCCTTGGGAAACCTGAAACGCCCCCTGGGGAACCATGCCCCAGGCAACAAAAGAGCAACACGCGACGTTCTCGCGCTCTTCTCTCTCCGCTCTTCCCCTCGGCTCTCTCTGGACGCTTCTGCACGCGTCCGGCGTGCCTTGCCAGGCAACGCCCTAAGAGTTCGGCCAGTCCTTTGTTCGCTTGAAGCTACACACGCGAAGTGCCGCGACATCGATCTGCCCCTCAGTTTGTTTTATTTTCTTTCTTTCTTTTGTTTTGTTAAAGTTATCAGTCCGTTAAGTTACACTGGACTAATTCAGGAACGACCAAGTTCTATTTTTAAGCCTTTCTCGTTGAGCCAACTTCACCGAAGTCAGACCAAGCCACGTGGTCTCGCCAGCTACAACGAAGGAAACCTGAAAACAGCTGAATTGCCAGACAGAGGAGGAGTTTTCAATCAGACACGGAGAACCCCGGAGAATCCCTAGCAAAAAGCCAGGATCGGGCAGCTAGTGGGACCAGCAACAGGCCAAAGCAGGCTGTCGACAAGCAGTAAGACTTAACACACATTGGTCAGAGATTTCCCTTTTAACTCCTAAACTCATAGCATTAGCTTACTTTCATTAGTTTTTCTATGCCATATGAGTCAAATGCTTCCCACAATCGAACCTCCATTTCTCATTGTTCAGCAATTGTTTATTTTCCCTGTATTCAACCATCTTTTTTATCACATTAGTTAGAGAATAAATTCACTGTAATATAATCAAGAACTGTGTGTGTTGCCTATTTCTACGTCCCTGCCAAGAGAATTGACCCTTTAGATATGAGACTGACTGATTGATTTAAGATAATTGATTGAAAGTGATTATTAACTAACTGATCACTAGTACTAATTGTATAATTATTCAAAACTACCTAGAGGTCCAGAGACTCTAGGTTTATAACAACTCCGGTGGTGCCCTTAACGAGGAATAAAGTTTGATTTTATGAATATTAAAATTCATAATTGGGTATCAATTCTCATAAATTTATTAAAATGCATAACTAAATTTAGGTTTGCTACACTTTAAACAGAACCTTCCAGTTGTCGCATTCCACCTCATTTCCAATCTCAATTATATGTTACTGCTCTCCAAGACGAGCCGAGTCATAACAGACTAAACATGAAGAGTTAGTCAACTGAGTTGCATTTGTTACTCATTCCTAAAGTGTATGACACATTCCTGCTGAATTCCTCATGTTAAAGCTACAGCTTATGGTTTTTTCCTCCACAGGTCTAGTTTCCTGGATGGTTTAAGTAGAATGGGGGTTGCGTTGCAATAGAAGCAATAGGAGAGATTTGCATTTTTGCGAAGTACACCAATCTAGCACTATATCTTAAAAAACAGAACAGCTCACTGAATCTATTTATTTGGCCCAATACAGAAACATTATTGTATCTAAAATTCCAACTACTGTTGATTCACTGCCAATGTGAATTGTAAGACCTGAAACACAAGTACAACAAAGACAGAAATGTAGCTTCTGGACATGGCTACCTTTGTAAGTGCTGAAGTTGCAGGCTAAACCTGAAAGTGTTTTCAATTATTGTTGTTTGGCGGAGGGGGGCAACACAGTGATAAAAGAAAAAAGCCTTTAGCCTACACTATGCTGCCACACACCCCCTTTTATACTGTAAAAGATGGCAGCCTTATGGTCTTCAAAAATGTATAATTTTTACTGCATGAAATGGTGTAAATGGTATCACAGCCTGCAGTCGTTTACTTTTCACTCAAATACCTCCTGCTGAGTTGACAGTTGAAAAAATAATAACTGCAATTCCTGTGATATCTTTGCTCAACCTTTTCATTCACAAAATCAATGTCTGGTAGATGAATGTGACTAGAAGGCCTCATTATGAGTGAGAGACATGCACAAACAAAACAGATACATAAATAAAAGCTTCTCATGTTGTTTTTCTACAGCTTTTGTTGCAGAACTCTTCTAAATGACCAATGATGAAGACAAATCTGAGTGCAGATGGCATTACAAAGCCAAATGACGGCAATGGATCAGATAGACAGAATCACCAATTTGTAAGAAGAGAGATTGGCTCCAACAGGAAAACGGCCTGCCTCTTCATTGATTCTACAGCACCCAATGATGACGCAGAATCCATCACTGACTGAGGGAGAATATCTTCCCACTGTTGCTAAAAGGGGCCTGTAACAGAGTCCGTGCTGTTCATTATAGTCAGAATGAATGTCCATATTTTGGCCAATAGCTTTATGAAAAGATACAGAAGGTGTCAGACAGCGCAGGCAGGTGTGGTGGGATTCAGACAGGCCACAAATGAGGAAAATGCAGTAACTGTTATGAGTCAACATAGAAAATATTCGTCTACAACCAACAGCTGTCAGCTGAATTTGGACAGCTGTCCAAACAGAAAAACTAAGAAGAAGAAATGTTACAAGTAAACACAGACCACAGTAAACAAGAGTTGTTATTTTGCAAAAGTAAGTATCCAATTCTTTTCATTGAAGCATCAATTATCTCTTTAGCCTTCATAATTTACACTCTAGTTAGGTTTGTATCGCATACACGTATGTAAAAGGTGATACTGTGGCACAGGCTCGCTTTTTTACGTTACTCTGGACACCAATACAAGCTAATTAATGTTTTTTCGAGGTAATTTCTGTAAAATCTATTTATAGGAAAAGCTGAAATGAAAATGACACATGGTGGTGTAAAGCAATCACATTATGGCATTAAAATTGGTGCAGTGCTGTCACTTCTGGCAACAACACATGGTCATTATTGCTTACTTGCAGGTATATCTTTCAGTCACTCTCTCCTTTCCTTACGTTTCAAGCCATCCCCCTCTGTCTGCCATCTGCCACCTCACCCCTAAACTTCATCCCTATACATTTAGATCTCAGACAAAATGCATTATTAAGTATATCTTTCCCTTATCCCCTCCTTTCCCATTTTTCCTTCTCCTCTGTTCCCCTCTCCTCCCTTCTCTCTGGAGTGCTCCGGTGCAGTCTAATTAGAGCCTCCGGTATAGGATGTCATTATCTCTGCTGTTTCTGGCACACTGGGTACAGTGCAGCACTGTATCAGCATAGGGAAATGAAAGCCGCAGCGCAACTTCACGCATGCACATACACAGTGATGTGGAGGTGGCATCCTCTGCATCTCCTTCGCTGCAGTAACATGTGAGCATGCGTGTGCTTTTTTAAAAAGAGAGAGGAAGTAAGAAACACAGTTAAGTTTTACATATTTCATGTGTAACTGAGTGTGAACAGTGATGATGCTGGTGAGAGCTACGGGACTGTGTGACTGGCGATACATATGTGCTAAAAATGTTATTTGTCGCCTTGTCCATCAGTACCAATGACTGTCAGCCTTTGGGCCATGACTTGCCTTGTGAGACACTCCTGCAGGGCGAAATATGACACCGATTCAGACCAAGTCAAATACATCATACTGCCAGGCTCGCTCACTCTGCAGCTCTTTCATGCACATACCTTTCGCCTCACACACGCACACACATACTGAGGCACGCATGCGACATACGCAAAATTGACTTATGGTCCTCTTTGGTGCTGTTGCCACAATGTACTGGCTGACTTGTGCACTCCACGTAGAGGGATTGGGGAATCAATGCTGCTTTTTTGAATCGACCGTAGCCGCCAGGGTCCCTCCTAATACCGATTTCAGTGTTACTTATTGTATGGCTCCACATGAGTGCTGATGATGAAGAGAATGGCTGTAGGTGGATGATGCAGTCTAATAGTTCCTGTGGCCTTGGGGCTTAAAGTAGCTGAATCTGAAGGGCATTGCTGAAGGGAAACAAGGGCAATAGCAAAGAGTATGCGACCTCGAAGAATATGTCAGATAAGAGCCAAGCAACTGCTGTGGCCATGAATCAAAGTCGCACCATTATCAGTCATATCATAAGCCAATTTGTGTATACAGCACAAAAGCCTGCAGCACTGAGTGAAAAACCTGCATGAAAAAGTACTATGAACTCATATCCCAGTTTTCATCAGGGATCAAACAAAGCTTATGGACTGTGTGACTCCATGGTGGCCACAAAAATGGAAGGATAACATCTCGTAACATTAACTGGCACTGAATTAGTGAAACAAATAGTGAAGCTAAGAGAAGTTAAGCTGACATTGCAGCTGCCTTATCTTACTCCTGGGAGTAACGGGAGAATGCACACACTGTGAGAACTGAACCCCACGTAATGAAAAGGTCACTATTTTAAACATATTTACTTCCATTTTTGCATTTACTTGTAGGTATTATGGTTAAAGGAGGCTTTTCTAATCTAAGTTTTATATATCTAAATGGTCTATTTTAGCTCACCATTTCGAATTACAGTATAATAAATTTGACCGGACCTTTTAAATCCTCAAGACAAGCAGGCCTCATAATACTTGAATGAATTGTTCTAACCATAAAAGTCAAAGTAGAAACGTGGCCTTATTCTGTTAAGTCAAATGCACCCAGAAGACGGCCAACACTATTTCAGCATTAGATTTACTGCAGTCATGGGCTGGCCTGTATATGTGCGTATATGATTATGCCTTATGGACTCATGTGAGGAGTTATAGCTGTAAAATGTGGCCTTTTCCTGCATTGCTGCTCTACCCTCGGGAAACTTTTAATCCTGTAGCATTAATGCAGCACGGGTACCTCTGGTAGATAAGGAAGCATGTCTAGTTTGTGTTAGATAAATGAAGCAAAGGTGTGCATGTTTATGTGTATGGATGTATGTCAGTATTTGTATATGCATGCAGGGCAGCGTGGAGAACACTGGCAGAGAAAACAAATACAGGGTGTAGCAGGCCTTAGGGTCAAACTGCATGGCAACACTATTTTATCAGCACTAACGCTCCTTCCCTCTCTCTGTGTTTCCCTCGCTCTCTTTCTCTATCTCCTTCCATCCCTCTATTCCTCCTGGCAACAGCTTGCTGATTTAAAAAAATGGCCTGACCCCAAGTAAACCCTTCTGCCTATCTGTCTGACCCTAGTAGGGGAAAAAGTCCCCCTGCAACCACAAACGTTCACATTGGGATACTGCTGACAGCTGCAGACAAACCCACATGCATTATCAGAAATTCCTGATGCAACCCCTGATCTACATGTATGAAGGAATGCTAAATGGAAACAGCAAATTAATAAGAAATAATACTCTATCTATCTCAATAGAGTCTTGAAGCTGAAGTTAAATTTTCAGCTTCAAGGAATGAGAACAATGAACATGATCTTGCAGCATGTATTTTTTGTCATTTGTTGTCTGAAGTAACTGCGTTTTTCTGTCATCAACCCAGTTGATAGGAACACAATTTAATTTCCATTTTATTTCATGTGACATTTCATTTCAAATTTGGCAGTAAATCTAATTCACAGTTGGATGGGAGCGTAGCTTATGTCACTAACCTTGGAGCGCGGCGGAGCACGGATGTACCATTTACAGTCGACGGCCTCGGCGGCGCCAGCCTTCCCGTCTCTGGTGATCTGAAGGGACTCAACGATACCTTCTGGACCAACCATGTCATACTGACAGGCTGAAACACACGCATATGCATAAACACACACGTGCACTCATACACACGTGCGGTTCAAGCAAACACACATAGACACACAAATACTACACAGGTACACACATGTACATACTTTGAACAACTAGGCCTCAAGTTTAAATGGAGGAACCACAGTGTACATTTATTGAGAGAAAAAATAGAGCACTGAGAGAGAGTAAATGAGAAAATAAGTGAAACAAAGACAAAAAAAAGAAAGGAAGAAATAGAGGCAGAAAGCAAGAGTGAAGGAGTATACCTACAGGGCAGCGGTGGGGGTACTCCCAAGTCTGCAAAGTCCGGATCTGAGGAGAGAGCAGAAGAGGGGGGGGATTCATTTTTAATACATGATTATAAAGTCAGGCTCCTCACACAGGCAAAAACAACCAGGTAATAACATACTGAGGAACGTCTTGCAGAGATAACAACAAATTGCTGCCCTCACTCCTAAATTATTTTGGCATCCTTAAATGCTTTGCTACTCTCTCTTCTTTGCAGTCACCTAGAAGAAAGCTAATGGCATGCTAGCTGCCACCCATGTCATCTCCTGTCGTGCCCACAAACAGTTCAAAACTTGTGGTCAAAGGTCATTAGCTCCTGAGTATGAGATTCTTCTTTGGATCCTTCACTTATGCATGATTGTTTAACCATTTGAAGACATCTTTGCACAACACATTTTCCGAAAATCCTCCTATCCTATAAAAATCCTATTAATCTCACAAACCGGAAGAAAACAATTTGGACGAAGACGAAAATGAAGCAAAGACGGAACAAAATAATGTACAAACTGCTGGATAAACTCCAACCAGACCATTCGCATTAGGAGAAACTAAAGATGTTTTTGAAAGACAATATTTAAGCCTTTGATAAAACCCGGCCCCTTCTCCATCCAGTACCTCTTGCTCTGATTTCTCTCATCAACTCAAAACTAGCATAAATTAGCAAAACAATTAAGCATGAAAATCCATGCTAACACCTCTGTGAAGCTGTACTTTGATGGTAACATGCTCACAAAGACAATCTTACCACATTGATGTTAAGTAAGTAACCAAGTTCACCATTTTAGTTGTGTGTTTAGTTGCTTGTTAGAATGCTAACAACATAGCTAGTTAGCTGTAAACCCACATTATGTGTTTTTGAAGAATGTAGGCATAAATAAAAGTATTGGGTGGCTCTAGAGCAAACCGTCGCTCTCTCTTGGTATATATATATATACCGTAGCCCGCAGCATCTGATTGATTCCACGTCGTGAATAATAGCCTATCAACACTTTCAACACTTTGTGTGTTGAAGAGAAGACAGCCGATATTACTGAATAAAAATCAAAATCTGAAGATCTGTTTTTATGATGATGATGACAAGCAGTGCATTGTCCCTGTTTTTGTCACTACTGAACATGCCCCAAGTCACAGCTACTGGGTTTCACTCAATGACACTCTTGAAAGTGACGCCTTTTAAATCAGTTGCTCTCCCCTTACATACTCACTGCGCTTAAACACAGCATGCATCTGTCTGCTGTGTCTTTTCACTGATTGCGATGTAACGTTATATATTTACTACTTTAAAAAGTAACAGTGGCAGTAAAACTTTTTCTCATACTGTGATGGTTAAACTTTGCAATCAATCCACATTTCACCTGCGTGACGAACCGTGCAGAGGGAGGTGGAGGGTATTTTCAAGACATTTCAAAACATCCCTCTGCTGTTTTCTCATAAATCACATCCTGTTATAGCCTCATAAATGAACAAAAAGAGGATCTATATGAGAATTTGTTGTACAGCTCAGTCTGAGAGAGAGGGTGGGGAGAGGGGTGTGTGAGTGGCCATTCCCTCTGAGCTAAGTATTAATAATAATGTTTTTAGTTTTGAATTAAATTTACGTAAAGTTAAGGAAAGTTTTCAATTCAAGTTTTTATTTAATGAAAATTCCACAAAAAAATAATTGTTGTAGTTATTACACTACTACACCACCATTACATTTTTCCTGTCACACACTCACGCACCCCCAGGGGTGCGCGCACCACCCTTTGGGTATTGCTGTTTTAGAGGAAAAGTTCAAAGGATCACCAAAGTTTTTCAAATTGATCTTAAGCAAGCATGAATGTCTGTACCAAATGTAATGGCAAGTGTTGGTGCTAGCATGGCTAAACTGTTTTCCCACAATTTGACATGTTTTACATTTACTGTGCATTTAATGGAGTTATTAAACCATTAATTAAACCAATATTCATAACAGTAATTTAAGTATCTGTGTGTAGTCTACTCCATATGTAATATGTAAAGTCTCTGGAAGTACAGTGCATTAAATGGACCCTTATTTATGACCAAAAAACATCTCTAAATTGCTCATATGCTAGGCAAATACGGCTCACCACACTATCCCCACTCTTCTAAAATTATGTAAAAAGCCCTCATTATAGCTATATTAGTCAAAATATGGAATCAACCAAATTTACTGGCAATTAGAGGATCAAGCTCAAACTCTTGTGCTATAGATGTTCTCTCGCGGTTTTATTCCACATGCTGATCGGTAGAGTATGCAGCTGTTGTTTTTTTCCCCCAGCAACTTTGACAGTAATTTGGTTTAATTAGGTTTAGTATAGTAAGACCAGATAAACTGTCTATGACAAAGTAGCCGTGAAAACCATTGGTATTGTTTGAAACCAGGACAGTTGTCGTTTTCTGGGGGAAGCCGGTTCGGTTACAGGCATATGACAATAAGGTCAGTGTCACGTCACTGTTGACTTACAGGATCGACTGCACTGTATGTCTCAATAAGGATACAACAGGGATAATGTTTTTTGGACTGACATACTAAATATGCGTAAAACACCTCTGAGCTCACCAAATAAGTTCAGGTCTTATATTTGTTCCCTTTTGCAGTATCAGAATAAAACAGAAGTGACACTAAACACAGATAAATGGAAGTGAATAAACATTTAAAGTGGTTTCAGAAACTTTTTGAGCAGACCGTTGGGGACTGTGAATCTAATCCTAAACCATAGTTTCACACAATGAGAATACAAACTTTACTAAAGCCAAGCTGAGGCCATGCATTTTGTGAGCTAAATAAGATCAGGGACATGCCTGCTAAAGTTTTGAAAGTCAGCTTGAAGCAAAAAGGTTTACAAATGTTTTTTTCTGTATAATGTTGCAATAAATTACATCAACAAGCCTGGCCTCGGCGAGGTATGTTACCTCATCTTACTAGTGAAACATCACAGTCTCGTCTCTTATCCCCCAAGATTAAATATCACTCCTCAGATGACTTCACACCAGACAGAAATTGACTCTTGAACAATCTCTGCTGTTCTTCCACACCATCATTTCTGTGTTTGTGTGCACTCTTGCAGGGGCGTTTGTGTGTTTTACCCACCATACTCAGTCACCACTTACTACCGAATTTCAGATCCACTAGCTTGAAATCAGAACTCACTTTAGCTAAGAAAAACCAAATTCTTTTTATTGTTATGCCTTTCTGTCACTTGCTCAGAACCTATTGCAAATAGTTCTGTCTTAGTTTTCAAGAAGATAAAATGATGAAATAGCGATGAAAACTATTAAAGTAGTCACAGGATAATCATACTCCACTATAATGGCACTGCATGACATCATGCTATGACACATGGCATTGTGTTTGAAATAAAAAACTCCACAATATTAAATGCATTCCTGCTGATTCCATTTTATTCCAGCCTAGCGACAGAGCAGTTGTGCTTTCAAAGATATGCCGTGAGCTCTGGGCTGCATTCATTTGAGGACAGAGCCTGCGGAAATAGGAAACACAAAAAAGGCTTCACATTAAATCTGATTGTTCCTCGCCAAATCGAGACATGGCTACCACTGACTGAGCTCAGTGTGGAAAATGAGGTCTGATTGCACAGCGTGAACACCTTGCCTAAATGTCACAGTTTTTTGTCTGTATGTATGCCCTAATTTTTCTGTCTAGACATGAGTCAGAGTTTCAGTGTGTCTGTGTGTACGCCGGACCTGAGGAGCAAGTTCCATACACCTGGCAATGCTGCATGCCTAATGACGGCTCACCAGATGAAAAAAAAAAATCGGAATGCGCATGAAACGGTGGGGGAGGGAGGATGAGCATTCAGTGTGTTTGATGATGACACTTGCTGCATGAAACCTATAATTAAAGGAGAGAGATTCTTGGCCAGATTTCGGCTGTGTTCCGGTGGGGACTCAGAAGACCTGACCCTCCACCTATGGTGAAAACAAAAAGAGCCCATTGAATGCTTGTAACAAATTTAGCAAGGCTTCAAAAACCCCTCTCTCGTTTGCGCTTAGTAAAACGTTCATGTGAACACAAAAGCAGTCAGCAGAGGTGCTTAGAGGGTACTCAAGAGCTCCTCCTGAGGCTTTCTCCACAATTCTTCCCGATTAATTGCTTTCAACTATGGCTCAAATGATCCTATCTATAAAAAGCTAAAGGGGAAATACAGTGCAATTTAAAAATACAAGTGGTTCCTTTGGCCTTGGACAGCTAACTGGTTGTGAACTGGTTGTCTTTTGGGGAAAGTAATGCTTTGCTTGCATAGTTCAAAGAAATCCACCCACATGGCCTCTCTCCATCTGCAGAGATTGTGAGTTATATACTTCAACGAAGCCAAGTGACTTGTGTCTTTCAAGAGCAAAACACAGACATCTACTATACTTCCTACACTGTTAGTTCCCACAGAAATGAATCAAAGCGGCCCACCCTCTTTCTTCACTGTCTGATACTCGGGATGAGTTTCATTGAACACATGTGACACTGTATTTGAATGAGACAGCACATAAGCCACTGGTAATTATTATCTAGATTAAATTATCTAGACTCAGTTAATATTTTGATCTACAAAGGGTCAGAAAATAGTGAAAAATGCCTATCACAGTTTTCCAGAGCTCAAGTTCACATATTCAGTTTGCTTGTCCAACCAACAGATTAAAATCCCAAAATATCTTTAAACCACTAAAATTCATTGGCATTCTATCTTAAAACATTGACTTGACTGGCAATTAACTGATTATCAAACAAGCTGTAGATTTATTTTCTGTCAGTTGAATAATCAATTCAACTAAAAGTTATATCCTTAGTTTGATCTTTTGAGAGTTCAACAAGAAGATTGACACCACTTTCATATCTAAACAGAGCTAGACTGTTAGCTTAGCTTAGATTTAAGTCTGGAAACGAGCTACAGCTTACTAATTGAAGAGTTACATCTCTTTTTTAATCTGTTTGACCAGGAAGTAGTTTAGCACATATCCCTCCATATAACAACAGCTTGTTGTTTTATATTTTTGTTTTTGGACAG